AAAATATTAATTATTATGAATGTATAAATATACAAATTCTATACAAATTTAATTTTTGTTATGATTACTTGCATGGATTAAATACCTCATCTATACAAGTTTCGATTACCTCGAGTATTAAATCGCGAACTTGAGTTTGTCAGTAATAGTGTAAATCAAGAACAGTTTGTAGTTTCTTACTATAATAATTGTAATAATTAAATGGATTAAATGCGATCTATAGATGTATGAGACGAGGTAATCGAAAAGTATAGATGTTTTCAATTTTCTTTTAATGCTGAACCCTAGTTAATGAATTAATATTACTAATGCATATTCAGTGACTTTGACTCGTTAAACTATTATACTTACTCTAGGAACTTCTTCCAATATCATGTAATGATAAAAATTGGGTAACTATTTCCTAACAAAATACTTTTCTTTAGCAGGAGGATATAAAGTAACAAAAAGTACTCTAAAAAATGTTGCCTAATATAATTTAACATTAATTCCCAAAATTAAATTCAAAATTTCCCACCAATAGGCGTAGGTATTTGAAAGGTATCGTAATTCACGAAGTCAGCTACTTCTCGCATTTGCGATGTTGCCAGATTAGCCAAAACATTTAACTATCCAGATAGCAAACCTTACAGTTCAGTGAAAATTACCAAACCTTTACTTATCTGGCGGATATCTTTATCCGGCGGATGGCTATCCGGTAGTATGAAAAGATTGGACATTAGAACAAAAAGGTCCCTTTCTTGGTCTAACCTCCTCTTCCTATACCTAACCGTGTGCACATACTTTAGCAATGTCTTTTCCATGCTATAAGCTCTGCGGTTTACCCCCTCCACTGCAATGCGATGTCTACATACACATATATTCTCTAAAGGAGAGCGTCCCGTTTGCTATATTTTCAGTGCGCTACCCTTTCTTTATCGTGCCCAACATTTCTGCGAATGAATACAGTACGTGGCGGGGCAGTACGGTGAGTTGTATATTCGCGTCAACGTTAACACACAAATAGCCCAAACATCTTGAAAGGACTCGGAGCGGCTTACAGAAACTTTCTGACCGTCCGGCCGGCCGTCCATTATTGCATTCGGCGTCAGTTGACAACAGCGAGCTACTTTCATTCGCAAAAAAATGGTTGCCGGTAAGTTCATTAGCTAGTTTCGTGTACCATTTCTTAACTCAATCCACTGGCGAATGCATAATGTTATATGAACAATAATAATGTCACGGCCAAGAAATCGTTTCCACGCAATTTTGGTAAAAGCAAATGGCGCGGGTTTTGCGAATGACCACACCCTGTTTGCCTTACTAAAATACTTTATTATTGTGGTATGTTGTGCGATTATCGCGCCATAAAAATAGAATATGACACCGGAACTCTGACCTCGGTTATCAGGTGCAGTATCGAATAGCTTTCGCCAACTTTGACATTTTAACATATGTCAGCGAAAGTAACGAAAGTGGAATTCTGATTCAATTAAAATGAACCAGGGTAAAACGAGTTCTTGTCCCTTCTATTGTTTCTAAAATAGTTTAGTACATTGACAATATTAATACGAACTGCTTGTGCTAAGAAAGAATGTAATTAACTCAGATTTGGTTGAAAAGTGTATTATTTTTTTTTTATTTTTTCTTTTTATTAAGATAAGGAGACCCATACTTCGTACATTTAAATTTATCCAATGTACCTTCTTGTATCGAATGTATAAAAATAGTAGCTTTTAATATTTATGAATGGATGCTGAGAAAAACCTTAAATCTCAAATGATCTACCACTAAAGTGGAACGTTAGTGTACAGTAGAGTCATACGGTCTTTTTATAAAACGCTGAAACTGTTTAAATTGTTTTTAATAAAAAGATTGGATAACTTTACATTTGTGAAAACATTTATTTCAATCAGGAATTAACAATGAAAAATATTTCCTAACTTAGAAAACAGGTTATCGTTCAAGAATATTATCACAGTTTCAAAGATATTTTCCATATTACTGGATTTTTTTAAAACAGTTTTTTCCAGAAGTTCTCGGATATTTTCATTTCATCGAATTTGGGTTAAAGCATACTCTTCCTCAGCACAGCAAAACAGGTGTAAGTAATATATGATTGTAAACTACTAGCATAAAGCTAGCAGTTTTTATCCAGTGTGTATTAAAAGTTTATTTTTAACACTCCTGCGCATATGTATATTGAGAGATAAACGTTTTATAACGTAGAAGCATGTGTAATGAACAAAAATCATTAAATAATTACTTAACGGAACAACTCAACTCCAACTAATTGACATTTTTTAATAAATATCAAATATATATTTTTATTTTCCTTATACAGTTTCGATATTAAGTGGAAATTACTTATGGCAAGTTGTTTGTCCTACACAATTATCCAATGACATAAATACATTTATCCAATAACATGGAATGTATTTGTTTAATTCAATTGGTTGTTTAATTCGTTAAATATTGCTTGCCTTAGAAATTATAGGTTCACTGTCGTAAAACTTTCTACAGGTAATATTCCTAATAATATAAGTGTAAGATTAACCAGTTAACTGTGTCGACCTATTTGAAACGTGTGTTTTCATGACAAGTATACTCGTCAAACACAGCTAACTGGTTAAAGAAACCATATAAATTGCATAACAATTTGTTAAGCTGTTTTTTTTAATAATTTGAAATGATGTTAGACACATTAAAGTTTTTAAGGTATAAGGATGATATTACATAGAAATATTGTTATAGTTAGTATGGCATTTAATAACATTCTATGTGCCCATTAAATAAGATAAACATCTACTACACCTAGTGAAAATAAATGAGAGTTATAATGACTTGCGAAATAATTATTATCATATTTTCCTTTTAAGCAGCAGGTATTTTGACACCAGAAGTCCTGAATGAATTCCGTACAAAATTCTATGCAGACTCTAGAAATGTCTTAGCCCAAAATGTGTGCACAAAGAATGATCCTCTGGAAGCATGTATATCGAGAAAAGTATTGGAGACCTCGTATCATGCTTTCAATTATAAAATAGACCCTGAAGGGAAACCTATGACGAACCAAAAGCATACCGGACGATGCTGGGCTTTTGCTACTCTGAATGTTATAAGAATTCCAATTATGAAGCAGTACAATTTGGATGAGTTTGAATTGTCTCAAGCATATTTGTTCTTTTGGGACAAGGTAGGTATAACTTTAGCAAAATATTACTTTACTTTAATAACCGTAAAACAATAGGTACTTAAATGGTTTGAAGTAGATAATTTTTATTCTAATCTATATTAAAGACTATTGACTAAAGACATTTTGAAAAGAATATATTTTCAGATTGAGCGATGTAACTTTTTCCTGCATAATATTGTAAAAACTGCAAAGCAAGGTGAACCAGTAGATGGTCGATTAGTATCATTTCTATTGAATGACCCAATACCTGATGGAGGACAGTGGGACATGATTGTCAATCTTATAAATCGGCATGGTCTAGTACCAAAGATATGTTTTCCTGAAACTTATAGCGGTGAAAGTAGTGGTCGCTTGAATACTATTTTGAAAAGTAAACTGAGAGAGTATTCAAAAGTTCTCAGAGACTTGGTAGAACGTGGAGCTTCCGATGAAGAAATCAAATCTGAGATCAAGGAACAGATGATTACTATATTCAGAATTGTTAGTATCTGCTTGGGAGTACCTTCAGAAAAGATTGTATGGGAGTACTATGACAAGTCAAAAAATTATCATCGTATCGGTCCAGTTACTCCTTTGGAATTTTATACTAACCATGTCAAGCCATACTTTAACGTAGATGATAAAGTCTGTTTGGTGACAGATCCAAGACCTTCAAATCCATATGGCAAACTCTACACCTTGGATTGCTTAGGAAATGTTGTCGGAGGTAGAGAAACACTTTATAACAATCAGCCTGTTGATTTGTTAATGAAATTGTGTGCAGAGAGCATAAAACAAAACGAACCTGTTTGGTTCGGAGCTGATGTGTCCAAACGGTGGGCCCAAAAACAGGGTCTCCAGGATCTAAAAGCGCAAGATTTCAATTTGATGTTTGGAACAGATATTCAAATCTGTATATCCAAGGCTGACCGTCTTTTGTATTGTGAATCTATGATGACACATGCCATGGTGTTTACGGGAGTTTCCATTGATGTACGTTCCATTTTTTTTAATAACAAATAATACGCCTTCAATTTTTTAAGAACTATTATGATTATAAACATTCTAACGTGATTTTCTTTTTGCTTTAGGATGATGAAAAAATAAAAAAATTCCGAGTTGAAAACTCGTGGGGTGAAGAACGTGGTGAAAAAGGCTATCACATTCTAACAGCTGAGTGGTTCGCAGAATTCGTGTTTGAAGTAGTAGTCGATAAAAAGTTTGTACCTCCAGAAGTTCTGGCTGTATTTGATATGAAACCGATTGTATTGCCTGCATGGGATCCTATGGGAATGCTCGCTCAGTAATACAAACTGAATTCCGAATTGATGCATTTTTATACTACATTGATATAATAATCTGATACTATACTGATACGTGAATGTCTACTATAATGGAGCCCCTACGAATTTTGAATGTAGGAGCGTAAAATAATGATATTTAAGAAATACAATAGTTCTTTTTTTACAGACTTTTAGCAAAGAAGTTAATTGAATAAACATTTTATTTCCATTAGTCATAAGAAAAGATCATAACTTATCCAAAGAAATTGAAAAAAACATAAACCACTGATTATATCATTAATTATGGTAACTCACTTTTTGTTATTACATTAACCTCTTCAGTTATTCTAATCATATCTATATTACTACGCACAGCTGTATAACGTATTTGTGAAAAGATGGATGTATTACTACAAATATTGAAGACTGTGGCGTAATAAATATATAAAATTGAAAATGGAAAGTAATATTTATATTTTCCTATACATAAAAAATGTAATAAGTACATATACACCATTAGTAAGAAATTATTTCATATTTTAGAAAAATATGACTGCTTAATACATGGAATAACATGATATTGTTAAACTTTGTATACGTTTAGTTCTTAAAAGATCATACAGCAATGAACGTTGATAAGATGATTGTTATATAAGACCTTGAAAGATAAATAATATGTAATACAAAACTGTTATAATGCAATTTATTTACAAATATACAAAGATTGATATGTTGAACTGAATACCACAGGTCAACTAGGCACTATATGCTATTGAGAATGTTTTACTTGTAATATCAGTTTATGCTTATACTGAAGTTTTGCCCAAACTCCTTTGCACATGTTCTGTAATCGCGTATTTTTTTCATTAATAGAAAATTGAAATATATTTTGAATTAATCTCTTTGCTACTTTTAAGTATCCGCGTTGAATCAAACTTAAAGCAGCATACAATTTGCACTGAGCAACCAAAAGTGGATCCCCTAAACGAAGGGCCAGCTGGAACTGTCGCAATGAAATATTTCCAGCAACTTCTGCCTGCAGACATTATATTACATAAATGTCACAGGATATACAGGAAATTATACTTTGTGATTGTATAAACTTATTTTTTTTACAGAACTGTACAAACAAATGACCCAAAATACCTTTTTAATTATCTCATAGACAGGAACTAATTTCACGAAGTGTAGTAAGTGTACACAATTACAAAGCACAACAAATAACGTTTATAAATAAGTAGAAACAATATCTTCATGTAAGTTCCTTATGTTAGTCATGAATAATAATTCATTTAACTATTTTCTTACACAATATGTGACATCGTCTCCTAATGCAGAGTATGCCCCTCCGAATGTTGACAACCAAGACATCATATAATCTAGTTCTCTTCTTTCCATTGCCATTTGTACCATTCTTTCATTCCTGTAGCAATTATTACATTACTTTTAATAATACATTTCATAATATAAAGATATGTGCACTTACCATTTATAATCCAAGAATTGTTGCTTTGGAATACATAGTTTCAATAAAATCACTGCATTGTCACTTTCAACTGCATGTGACTTACAAAATTGTAATAGAACAATAACAGCGGATTGACGATATTTCTTGGAATGCTTTAAAGCATTTATATAAGCTGACAAAAGGTATGCATTAAATCCTTTACGTCTCAAACATAATTGTATCAACTTTGAATGCTCCGTTAGATAATTGCTTTCAATAGTTCCTTTACTTTCTTCTTCAGTTGTATTATATTTCTTTGCATATTCAGTCACTGCATAAGGCGTGACAATAAGATTGTCAAAAATTGATCTGCTTTTGTATACGAGTATATGTAACCGATTCTCCATTCTTAAGTCATAAACAACCTGTCAACGTAGTTAATGTTCTATTGCTTAAATTACTGTAATTTCAGTTAGTATTTTATTGGAATTCAAAATTATTACTGGTTTACCAAACTTGTCATGTTATTTTCTCATTCGTGTAACTAAAAGGTCAGCGAATGACAATTTAACTTTTAAATTTGTAATCTCTGTTTTCGTAACTATCATATTTAGTAAAGTTGAGTGTTCTTTATGCGACAAGTCCGACCAATAATTATTATAAAGTGAACACGCGTAAAATGATATTTACATTTCAATTCCCAAGCCAGAACGTAGGTTAGAATTCCAGACTTATATTTAACGGTATTACAATGTAAAATGAGGTTGTATATTTTGATAGAATCAAACACTTTGTTAGATTATTCAATATTCATTCTTCATTCAGGAATTAATATATATTTTCTTTAACAGTTACTCGCGAATACTGTGATCAACAAGTATACATTACTGCAATATTGTTGATGCATTTAAAGAATTTTATGCCTCAAGTAATTTAATATGGTCAAGTCTCTTCGTATATGGTTAAATAATTGCGTAATAGGATAACTCGGGAAACATTTATTTACATAAGGTAGTTTTCACTACCTATTAGCTTTTCAAGCTTATATCACATTAAAACTTGACGTTTGCCAGTATAGTTGATAATTACTTGATCTATTTCCGAAATCTCACACGTGTTGCTGGTTTTATCCTTGTAATCAATTATACATTACTTGCCAACGTATTCCACAAATAACTGTCAGTCTGATTGGAACCAACGTCACGCGTAGTTTTCAACTGGTCACGAGAGGTACCGGCATTTCTAATTTAACCTTTAGCACTCCGCAAGTTTCGTAACGTTGACGAATGTCCCCGCAGCGGAGAGACAACGCAGCGCCGAAGGGTAAAATGTTCATTGACATAGAGATATATATATATATATATATCTTTTTCCAAAATTATATTGAAAGGGGAAAAATTATTAAATAAATCACGAAATAATGCCCGTAATATCACGTTATTCCAGTTCGATCTACGACAAATTGTTATTATAAAGATTGAAAACTCGATATATTATCATGGCACTGAGGCATGAGAACGTTCGCGAGCTAGAGTATATTTATACATGCTATCCTACAGCAGATTTATAACTACCAATGTTATAACTATTAGGATTAAGTATTGTGTAAACGCTGTTTTACTTTGGTTTTGTCTTAGCCCATAGATATCTAGACATCGCATAGCAGTGGAAAGGGTAAACTCAAATACCACGTGAGCCGACGGCATTCGGACCCAATCCATAGATCATAAATATCTAGACCTCACATAGCAGTGGAAGGGGTAAACTCGAATACCACATGGACCACGTGTGCAGACGGCATTCGAACCCAATCAGATTTTAGAGCATATGTTTACGTATAGATCTCCTTGCAGTGGAAGGGGTAAACGAATGTATGTACCACGTGTCCCGACGACTCACCCACATAATTAAAACCATTCTGCTTACTGAAAATCTGGGAGTGAGAGGTCCATTATCAACGTAGAATATATAGACGGAGCCCAAGCCAGAGGGTAAGTGCCGGAGTAATTAAGAGGGGAACGCGTAGGAATAATGGTAAGGTAGTCGTAGTGTTGTTCAAAAATTTTAGCTTTGTTCCATTTTGTAGGGTAAAATTAACCGAGGCGAAAAGATGATTACAGCGCTGCCGTTCGTTGACTAGCATACTATTTATCCAGCATCAAAAGCAGAGATGAGTTAGGAGATTGCTCACGTGCTAGGTCGCGTGATCACGTTCTCTGCTGCCCTCGGTAGAGAATGCAGGCGACTCGCACACTTGCCACCTGATACCCCTCAGTGGCGGCCCAAGTCGGGGATCCTTCTCATTCCTGCTCCCAACCCATCTCTGTGATAACAAACATCCTTTAACATCTTTTACCAATAAGTCCAGCAAGTTCTGCGGCGATGAAGTACAAATGTTGATTTGAAAAAAAAAAAAGGATCCTGTTGTGATCCACCTAAGCCTGGAAAGGAGCACAAAAGAACAAGCAAAACAGAACATAAAAAAAATCCAGGAAGTCAGATTAGACAGCGAATAAGTTACTAAAAGTCGAGAATATTAATGGTACATCGATCTCGTTCAATTTATTGAACTGGTATTTTTCAGATCACTAAATATGCAAAAATCCATTTAAATGCAGACTCGACAAAATATAATCAAAATGATTGTTCGCCGTCTCTTATCCGTCAATCCTGACAACATGAAAGACAAAAAAATAGGAGGGACAACGTGGCTAAGAATGAAAGTCGCAACAGGAAGTTGCGACTTACCGGCGGACATCTCGTCGTCTTCGTGTAATACTTCCTCAGGAGATCTTTCCCGAAGGAAACCTGGAGTTTCAAGCCTCGACTCCGTCTACCTCCGCCCCGATGTTGGTTCGGGTCGCAGTCTGCTTTCGCTTCTTATGTCTCATAGGACGGGGAACAGAATTTTACCGGTTGCACGATCCTACACACACTGGTAGGCACAGGAAACGACGGATGGACAGCGCGATCACGTATGTACCTCGAGAAGCCAAACGGCAAGTAGACGTTCCGGAATACTCGTTGGAAAGGGCTTTATCGAAACCGCAGCAATCTTCGGACATTTCGGTTAATCGAACGCGGCATCTTCTGATCATGATCTTGCCGCGCGATAACCTTTGACACACAAAAGCTAATCGCGTTTTTCGCGCACGGCACGACGACGGTGGCGCCAAGGTTTCTCATTAGCCCAATCTCTGACCGAATGAGAGACCGGCTCCGGCGCCATCCTCTAAATTGCTTACGCCGGCTCGAGCGGGTTCGGGACCCGGCAAATGACGGCTTTGCCCAATCCGGGATCCGGGTGGCGGCTCGGGCCGACGAACCAACAGTTGTCCTGGAAAAGCCGCCATGACAAGGCGCAGAGATGAGGATCCCTGAGTTGGGCCGCCACTGAGGGGTATCAGGTGGCAAGTGCCCAAGTCGCCTGCATTTTCCACCGAGGGCAGCACAGAATGCGATCGCGCGATGAATGCACGACTCAACTGCCCATTCTTCATTAAAGACTCAGAAGAAACGCGTATCCACTCGAGACATCCGCGCAACGCGTAATAAATGAAAACCCGGATCGGGCATTCCAGAAGGGGATGCCACGACACGTGATCGGTCTCAATTGGCGAATGGATCGCAAGAGCGATCAACGAGCGACGGCCTCACGCTCCTTCGCGAACACACCTCCGACCCGAGCCAATTGAATCGTCCAGCGTCGAGGCTGCGCAGGCGCACGAGAATCGGAGCAACGTGGGACAATTGAAATTCGTCAGGCCCGGCTGCGGTGCCGAACCCGGTTACCGGCGATCTCGGCATAACCTAAACGAACTCTCGAAATAGAGGTTGGGATCTCCTCCGGGTTAGGGGTCTCGGAAGATCGAGGCGAATCCCTCTCGGGCGACTCGATCTCGCGCTGGCGCGGTTCGAGCTTGGTCGCTTTGCGCGCGCGCGCGTCCGCCGCTCGTACCCCACTCGACGGCCGAGCCGAGCACTGCCATCGGAGGAGTCGCCGTTCGTCGTCGCTGCTCGCCGGTCTTGGCAGCTATTGGGACTGGAACTCTAGCGGGAGACGGACCGGCTCGCGCGGCCCCTCGGCTCTTCTCTACCGGCGACTCCGGGCCGAATCGTCGCGCCTCGTGGACCGGAGCAGCGTGCGAGCTTCCGCCTCGTGGACCGGCGGGGTGCAGCGGGACAGACGCCGACGGGCGCGCGCGCCTTTCTCGCCTCGACTCGCCCCGATTCGCCCCGAGTAGCCCCGAGTAGCCCCGAGTAGCCCCGACTCGCCCCGACTCGCCCCGACTAGCCCCGACTCGCCCCGACTCGATCGCCGACCCTCGGCCCGGCGCGCATCCCTGTCGGTGCCAGACGCAGAGTAGAAGCCCGCGCGGTCCCGCGAGTTATGGCATTCCTGAGAACGGTGCCGCGGTGTTGTGCCGGCAAGAAGCTGGGAAAGTGTCCGCCGCTGCAGCTCGGCCTCCTCGACAATGTCGCCCGGCCGTCCGTTCAGCTGGCGAAGGTTCTCGAGCGCGCCAACTCCACCGAGACCAAGCCGGTCCCGAGGCAGATCGACCCCCTCGACCTCAGGTTTAACGACCCCGTCGCCTCTTTCAAGAGCAAGACCACCAAGGAACTCATCCGGGCCTACGTCGTCTACCAGATATGCTCCCTCGAGTACATCGTCGAGAACAACATGAAGGTACGACGCCCCGCGTTCCTCTCTTCCTCTTCCTCCTCGAGGTTGATTCACCGAGCGCGAGAGTTTCTCACGATCGCCGGCGATAATTTCGGCTTCCTGCCCCCAATCGCCTCGCGAGTTCCTAGCAAACCAATGGCGGTCGACCGGCGAGGACCGGGCGCCGCGTCGCCGGCCGAAGCGGAAAACCGAAACGTCGCGGACAACCTTTCCCGACATTTTCTCCGCGGTCGTTCCCAAAGTTGCGCGTTCTCTGGTGCGGTCGTTTTTCAATTTTCCCATTGTCGTCCACGAGTCCCTCCTACCGCCTGCTATCCGGAATCAGGGCCGTTCCTGGGTTGATGGCCGCCTAGGTGCAAGAACTTTAATGTTACTCGATTAAAAGATTTCCTATTCGGCGTTTGCCTTTTTACCTATATGTGCCTGCTTTTGAACGGTTATCCTGCAAAAGATATATTTCTCTCGTATTCATTTTATTAGTAAAAATTGTATCTTTAGTGAAAAGATTTGCGATCGCCCGGGTGCGAGAGCACTTTTTGCCCCTCCGCCAGGAACGCCCCTGTCCGGGATGGACAAAATCGGAGTGTTGCGAGGAACGAATCGTTGATTCCTTAAAAGTGGACGCTAAAATTTCTCTCGTCCCATTTTTACTTCCTTTTCGCGTGGATGCTCGTTTTTTAAGCACTTCGCGCGAGGAACGCGAGGGGCGCGTTCTTCGGCTCGTCGTGCGGACCCCTGAAAAGCCTCGGTGTCCCCGATCAATCTTCGTCGTTCGTCCAGTTTCTGGCAGCTAGCTTTAATCCGTATCGTTCCAGGCAACGTGATGCCGATTCGGGTGGCCTTCTCTTTTCATTTTTTTCACAGATTATTGGGAGGAGACAAAATAAAGTGGTTCTTTCCCCGCAAGCAGGCCCGCCCTCCATTTTGCTCCATATTGCTCCATTTTGCTCCATTTTGCTCCATTTTGCTCCATTTTGCTCCATATTGCTCAATTTTATTCAATTTTGCTCCGTGTTGCTCCATTTTCCTCCATATTGCTCCATTTTCCTCCATTTTCCTCCATATTGCTCCACATTGCTCCATATTGCTCCATTTTGCTCCATTTTGCTCCATATTGCTCAATTTTGCTCCATTTTGCTCCATTTTGCTCCATATTGCTCCATTTTGCAGCGCATTCGAGGGCATCCTTCAAGATATATGCCGCGTTACATCTCATCCCTTTTGCAGGGAATGTTGGTCCCAAAATCCTCAATAATTAACTAAATCACGACTGGTTCTTTATGTAGCGGAATTTAGTTTGCAGACATTCTTTCTACCATTCGGAGTATGTATAAATCGGATAGCTGAAAGATATTCAGAGGGTATAAATTGGATTTGTAAAGCAGCAGGCGATGCGCAAAGGAATTCGACCGGTCTGTTTCGTTATTTGGGTCATTGTTAAAATGTCAATTTAAAATGAAGACCTTTTAGAAATAGCGAAGTATCGAGGAAACGTAACACATAATAGCAATGAATTAATCTGAATTTCGGAAAATTTTAAGCCTTAAAAAATCCTTTCGTTTCATCTACTGTTTGTCTGCTGCATCTGACGTACATAAACGAGTATATAAGACATTATGTACTCTAGTTTACTAGGGAAATTACCATTACTGCGAAGAAGCATTACCAATGTTAACGAGACTTTTATTAATCTCGATTCAAATTATTTAACAATTTCAGCACTAAGGTATGATATAAATCTTTTTAACAGGGAATATGAGAGTTATACAAAATGAATCAATACATTAACTCCACAAAAATTTGGACTCGGAAGTATATGGTCATCCCGAGTATAATAAATGTAATATATTTATCGTCAAATTCTTTTCAATGATAATTATTGTCCATTTACTTTTTCACCTTCGTCTGAGACCTAAATTTGACGATGTTGATGTTAATTCGTTTAAATGTTGCATACTTGCATTCATTTAGAGAATGCAGCCTCTCGTTGGTCCGTACAGGTTATGTACCAGTGAGAATTTGCATTTTCTGTACTTTGTGGACCACTGCACGTAGAGCAGGAGAAATGGACAAACCTATCGATTGTTGGCCTGCTTGGCGATGCACCGCAGACTGTCATGGCCGCCTGCGGCTACTCTGACACGCAAAAAAATGCTTTATTTAATCATGTTTCGTTATTGCTGCCACTTTCAACCGCGGCTATACTCTTTCCACGATCATTCGTTGTCGAGAAAATTACGTTACGTAAAATAATGCACGGAATGCTTTCAGAGGAAGAAATGACGTCGCTCGCGCGTTCCATCGCGAGCATACATTCTATTCCTTTTATGAAAACTGATAAAGAATTTCAATTCAGAGATATATATATAGGCGTTGTCTGATACGCGGTTAGATGAACGCATAATTGATAAGTAAACGTCTTGGCAAAATTTATTTGCACTTTCCGTGATATTTAAAAATTTAGAAAGTCGAAACCGAACCAGGATTAAAAATTGTCAGACCAGACGTGACATTTCAAAATTACTAATTATATGCTGTAAGTTTATGTATTATGTTACCAAGTGGTAAAATAATGTTTGACTCGTTTTTTCCGCGTATGTATGAAAAATATGCCAATGTGATTCATGTAATGTTCCTCGCAGCTGGGAGGTTCGTATCTAAGATCTCTGTAGAAAGTCTACCCGAAACGGTGGGCAGATGTCTTATGATTATTGCCTCCTTTCCATTATCTATCGACACAGACATTGATATTTTGAAAAGTCTCAATGAATCGTCCAGGATTCCCAGAGATAACTATGAGTACAACTTCGCTAATCTCGTTCCCTAATCGATTCGATTAATCGGTCCCACTCTTTCTCCTTGAAGAAAGCTTCGATCCTGGAGTTTAATCTGATCCCTCGAATCGTATTGTTCTGTCTCGGGGGAGAATTATACTTAGTTATCGCTGAAGTGAGTTAAGAAACCGGATATCACCTGACATTTTCGAGAATACGATAGGCTCGTTCGTTCCTCCTCCTCTTTGGTGAAACGGTGATGCAATTTCCTGCTTCATATGTGAGGAAATAATTCGAATGATCTCTTGGGTTGTTCCCGTCAGTTTGTTAGGAAAAAAAAAATATATATCTATATAATAGATATACAGGAACGCACGCGAATAATTCTACATTACCTGCGGTGGATGATTTTGAATTTGATTTTAGTCTGCCTTAGATAGGGAATCGCCAGAGGGGGAAAGTAATTCTCCAGGAAATCTGAATAATTTCCTTGACGCTGCCCGGCCGCGTGATCATTGCCCATTGATAATGACAAATCATCTGATAAATGTCCGGTTATCTCTTAGGAGCTCTGCAGGACGGCTGGCTTTTTATTTAATTTGGTTTATCGTACGTCGATCTTGCGCCGATTCTTACCGGACGAGACACTCGTGTTTCTGCATAAGATAGTCGATTCTCGTCGTAGCGAAATCTTGAAGCGAAATATCGTCGCCTCTCGTCGTAGCCTAAGCAGAAAGCCTGATACGATTTCTAGGGTACTCGCCGAACAGGTTTGCAATAGCGGCGATATGTGTCGTTTGTGTCTGCACGCGGAAAGCAAGTGTGAATTTCTTTGGGATTTCAATTCATTCGGTTGATTCGAAAGAGCCTCATTTTTCTGACGTAAAGGTGGTGGGATTCATCCTTTCGAAATTGAGCTTGATCTCGGATTTTGAATTAGGATTATTTTCAGGGAATTTCTCTCACGAAGAGATCTCCGTTACAATACTTGACGTAAATTAACGTGAAAAATAAAAGTGGCCAACGTAACTGCGTTTCCTTTATGGAATTGAATGCACCGACAACATGTTCTAAAATTGTTCCTAGGAATATTCTGCGGGAGATTTTAAAAGCTTCCAGTCTCGATCTTCTACTTGAATTTCGCCGTGTAACCGTTTGATTCTCCCTCTTAAGGGAGGGATTTCAATGATGAGAAAAGCAAGTTGCAGTTTCGAAAAAATGGAAAGTTTTACTATTAACTGCGGAAATCATCCCTGCATCCTGAACGGTGAAATTAGACGAATGCGCGAAACCCTTATGTAGGTGAAAATGAAAGCAGGGTAAAATGCAAAAATGTTTGGAATCGATGGTTAAATAAAGACTGCTCTTGTCCGGGGAGCATAAAAAATGTAGCCTCACGCAGTCGGGCTTTCCTCATATCGCAAGTCAATATATCACCGATATCAGAGACGATAGATCTCGAGCGATATTCCATAATTCCCATTTCGCGTCTCAAGGATGAGTGAGATTCTTGCAAGGGGAGAGAAACGAGGAGGGTCTAAATAATTTGGCGAAGGGAAATATCGCCTAGCCCTATTCCATCCTTTCCACCTTTGTTTCGGCTGGTATTCTTCCGAATGCTCGATTGCTACGAACCTTCTACACATGTCCAACTTTTATCCGATTACTTTGTTTCATATGTGCCCATAATTATGAAAGTGGTCTAAGTCATATATTTTTTCTTTCGAAATTACATTGAATTAATTTCGTTTGAAATAATATGGCGTGAAATAACTGATAAACTCATTTTCTTTTTAATTTTGACTTAGACCACTTTCATAATTATGGGCACATATATCCGCTGAGATCAATTCGAGGACGGTCATGTATCCGACGTCCGTCTTCATGACACCTCGTGAAACTGTGTGAGTCCCTTGTGGTGACCTATGTACACACCTATTGTTTGAAGATTAACTCCACATGAAAGTTTAGTCAAATCGATAAAATGTTTGTTGATTCACTCCTAGAATATGGTCATTACATAGACAAGCAAATATTTAGTTGACATGACATTGGTTAATAACTTTTTGTTGATTGCGTCAAATATTACGGCAGGTAGCGTCGAATATTAATCTGATACATCGAATCGAAATATTCCTGCCATCGAGTAAAATATTTTCTAGAAGTGAGGAAACCATTAGGTCCTAGTTTATTATAAAAGTATTATTAATTCTTTCAGTCTTTCACTCT